CTCTCCTTAAAAAAACCTGTTGAGATTCAGATTTCAATAGGTTAAAGTAATAGTAAACACGCTTATGTATTACTGTTCAATTAACGTGCAGTACAATGACACTAAATGTTAATTATTAACCAATGTCGAATCATCGTTCTTAAAAATAGGAACAACTACAGAGACATTCCAAAGAACGGGAAAACGTAATTGAGAAAGAGACAAGTTAAAAATGTGCATCAAAACAGGTGCAAGAACAGCAGCCTTTCATAATAAACATAGGTATGTCATCAACACTGCCCGATAATTTTGATTTCAGTTCTTTTATGGCCTCTACTGTCTCTTCTTCACCAACAGTAAACGAAGACAGAAAAATGGTGCACTCAAAATTATTAGCACCCAAATAACCACTAATAGGCGGGGAAAACACAAACTAAAAAAGTCGGCAAAGCTATTCGCTATTTCGGCTGGCAAACAATCGTACCTATTATCATCTCGAAGACAAATACTTTCTTTATTGCCACACAAGTGTTGCTTAGCAAAGCGCCAGAATTCTTTCGAATTTTTTCTAAGACTTGGTTGAACGCCATCCAAGTGCAAACGGTTATGTTCTTTATAATTTTTTTTTAACGAGAGAGCAAGGAATACTAAACTGTTGATGCCATAAAAATAGCCCTGTTTTATTTTGTTTTCTTTTTTGTTCTATAAGCGATTATAGTGCAGTTTCTTTCGTAATGCGTTTTCAAAATCTCCTAAGAACCAACTACGATAACAGGAGTTGCGCGTCAACCGTTTTGGAACGAAAGCACCCACATCTTTCTTAACTATCGTGGTCACGTTTTTCGTAGCTGAGTCCACTGGGCCATCGTTTAAGACGACTGACCAGTCACATATGTTCTCTAGAATTGTTATACAAGCCTAGATAATTTCCTTGAAAATAAGAATACCCAAGATAACTACTTTTCATACCCGGCCTTTGTAATAGGCAGAACTTGGTTTTAAATGGTGGATGATAAACATCATCGGATACGCGTGGGTTTGCAGCTGATACCACCGGCTCAATCGGTGCATTCGATAAGCTCATATCTAGAAAGTTTCTACAAAAAGTTTAAATAGCATTGTATTGATACAAAAAATAAACGAAAGTAACCAGGCGGCTTCTTTAGATGTCACGTCAGTTTGTGCAAAAATTAATCCCAGTGCTCCAGTCAATTCCAGGCGAGTTGAAATCGCCTAGAATCGCAACACAAAATTTGCAAAACTGGACCTTTTTTTTTTGTAGTGCTTCAAAATGTTGGATAAATTCTGGATTGCTTAAAAGTGGAGGGGAATAGTAATTTTCGCTTAAATAGTTAAAACCATCGCTGACAGGTAGTTCGACCCAGTCACACTCAGCATGGGATTTGAGATATGCCCTTCGATGGCACTGAACTAAAGAATTTACAGCAATTAGAACACCACCCCAGAGTTTCAAACTCGTGTTGGAAAAGTCTCTGTCCTGACGAAACACTGTAAAAGTTGGAGGAAAATAGCTATATACAAGAATAAGGAGACAAAGCCAGGTCTCAATTAAACATCTGACCTTAAATGGGCTTAACAATATAGTAGATATAAACTAAATGGCCTTAGAACGGAGGCCCCGAGTGTTTTATATTAAAACACTCGGGGCCTCCGTTCTAAGGCCATTTAGTTTATATCTACTATATTGTTAAGCCCATTTAAGGTCAGATGTTTAACTGAGACCTGGCTTTGATAATATATTTAAACTTTGATAATATATTTAAAGTTTTTTAGGCATTTGCAGTTGGTGAAGATTCGGCCCCAAACAATCTCGAGCTGTCTAATTTGCCAAAAAAAAAAATGATGAAAGATAGAACCTTCCGGCCACACTTTTGCTTTGTTCAGGATGTCAAAAACTGAACACTCCGCCGCGAGATGAAACGAAGATTCTGAATCGAATTTCGGCTGAACCTTGGTGGTGCTAGCTCGTTTGCTATCTAGGAAAGAGGCTATATGGTCCTCAGTGTCTGCAACTGATGTTTTGGGTTGCAATCTAGATAGAAAGAGAGCCTTTGTGTAAGGCTGGCGAACCACAAGTACCTAATCGGACTTTGCAGTTCCGGATGATGCCGGAGCCTGTCGTTTCACGACTGTAAAGCCGTTGTCGTCCAAGACTGCAGCTGCTTGACCAGCACTGCCCCTGTAACCCTTGTGCCATGCGGTTTTGGGCACCGCTTTCGATGCTGACCTTCCGGCAGAAGATTCCTCTCACCGTATGCGTTCCGCGTCGTCCGCGGCCGTCGTAAGCGATGTTTGAGGGTCCAGAGCAATAGGCAGGCGTTCGAGCACCCTCTTGTTCACCAGGCGAATTTCAGAGAGCATAAAGGGGTTCTCCGATTTAAGGCTCTTTACCTCGGCAGTCCCGATGTCCATTTTCGACGGCAGCTTCTCCGACAGACGAACGAGGTCGCTCGATGCCTCCGGTGTCCAACTAGCAGCAGCACTCTCCGAATGTGAAGGCGATTGAAGCAGACCCGCATCTTCTTGCTTGTCACCCCCGTTGTCGAGCGTAGCCTCCGATGAATCTCGGCGACGCCTGGTACGATCCGAGCATTTATAAGCGCCAGTACCGCTTTGCATCAACGTGTCGTACTTCTCTTGATCTACTCTGATGCATTTGCAGTGATAACGCCGATCGCACGATCCAGAACAAGGCAGGAGCTGCTGTGCGGCATAAAAACGAACGGAGCACGTACCGCACACGTCTGTCGGCATCGCTATCATTCCGCAGAAATAGTATATGGGTGCAGAGAGTGTAAAAAATGCTACACCATAAATCTCCCAACCATATCACAAAGGCAAAAAAAAAAAGCCTACGCCGAAAGGAAAAAGACGATATTCACGTTTCATAGGCAGTTTGATTGCCGTACCGATAAAAACGTAGAAGTTGTAGTTGGGCTAGTTAATGAATGTTATGAAGCATGGTGCAAGGTGCAAAAAACAACGAGTATAATCGACTGGTTGTGTTTCTATGGTGGTTCAATCGTGCCGAGATATTACCACACATGTTTTATATTTTTTAAAAGCGGCTTTGCGGGCATCAATATTTTATGAACCAGTCAAGGTGTTTTCAGTGCGAACGGATGATGATCTCATATAAAATAAATGCGTGATTTCAGATAAGGACATTATACATAATGAACTTTATAGAAGGTAGCAAAACGTGTTCACTGAACGGCACAGACCTGAGTTGTGCAACATGCTTTCTTGTTTTAGTGAGTAAAAAAAATCTGTCTGAAAGGAAGCTCAAAACGAATTTTTCAACTCCGCGTTGACGTAAATGTGAAGTGCACAGGAATAAAAAGTAAAGCTTTTTGAAACTTCAAAAATGTTTATGCATAACGCGCGCAAATTGGTCGGTTAGATTCCACTGCCTTTATTTTTGAGAAATATTGAAAGGTTAAATAAAACGGCGAACTATACTTTTCTAAGAATTTCATATTGAGGCATTATTCGGCGAAATTTCAGAGATTTTAGCATTCTATTGTTAAGCTGAAACTCCTTCAGTTTCCTATTTTACGCTCTGTGCGCTTGTGAAAATAAATTTACTGTTCTTCCGTTGGGAGTGTTCTTTGCGTCGCGCCGTGCATTTTTTCTAAAAATCCAAAAATAAAATGTATGCCATTTTTGCGGGGAAAATAAAGAAATCATCAACCTCGACTTTTAGATCTACACTTTACAACCGGTAATTTCAAAGCTGCCCGAATATCTTGCATTAATTCCTTCTAAAATTAAAAGAAAAAAAAAACTTGTAACAAGGTCTATGTCACGCCCGATTATCGTTGCTTTTTTTTCACTATACATTTAGATGTTTGAACACAGCATGACACGGTCACTGTACCTTGTCCTAGAAACACCAAGGCTCTATGAAGCACTACAAAAATACCGGAGTCTTCTTCTTTTTTTAGCAGTGATGTTGCTGATATTGCCTATGAGAACTGAACGTTGCGCGCGTTTCATTATTTGGATATTGTACGAGCTTGGCTCATTCTTGGTTCCTTGGGCTACCTCTGCGGGGTAGTACTTGAATATTGAAAGTCTACTGAGAAGACAGTTTGGTTCATTTTTCTAGGTATCGCCGTGCTCCGGATCTTCTCGCGATGACCCGCTATACATCACGAGATCCTCTCAGCGAATCCAACAGTTCACGTGATTCCGCGTCACAAAGCATCTCTCGGAGATCTCTTGAAACTGACACGGCATTGAAATGGCTTCGACGGCTCGTACCGCCCTGCACGGTTCGTCGTAAGCTACGAGTGTGCCTATGTTAGACTTTGTACCGCTAGATTTTATCGTTTTTATGTTCATCAAGCGGGGGAAAACTGAGTGGTAGAAAAAATGTGAATTATAGTCAAATCGACCGCGTTTTTTCCTCTCTAATTTTGCGTTTGTTGAACAAATGGTAACCTTGGCGCATCCCCCGCGCTCCCAACATTCTAATCGTTATAACAGTGAATGATTTAGGTATTTTCGACGACGCTTAGCCCGTTTATAATTAGAGCCATAAATTTATTTTTACTAAGCAAACGGGTAAATTTTGGTTAAATATCCCATTAATCTTGAGTGTTATCCTCTTAAAGGGATACTGAAGCGAAATTTGAAATACACCTATTATGGTCAGAAATAGGTGTAATATGATCAATGATATCCGTAAATCATAATCGCGCGTTTGTATTTTGAACGGATGGCTATATTTTTCACCCTGAAGGGCCCGATTGAGCGCGCGCTCGAAAATCAGCCATCGGAGAGCGCGATGCGTCTTGGGATATTGGGCGCATTCGTGACGTCACTTGTGCCGGTAGGGAAAGGCTACGGCGTGGATGTTGTGGTTACGAGCGTTGCCACTCGGTGGCGCGTCGACGATATACGACCTGTGACAACTTGGCCGTTTGAGAAGTGCAAGGGCTGCGCGCACGCTGCACTGGTTGCACCACGGCAAGTCGGCAACCACAAGCATCTCGATGGCCGGCCTAGATGGTTACCGTTGGGTCGATGAACAAGTAAGCGATGTCAGTGATATCAGCGAAGAGGAGGACGATGCCTTCTCGGCCATTGTTGCTGATAGAAGATTCGGGCTACAGCCCTACGTTTACGACCCTTCCGCTTCGTCGTCATCTGAAGCATCTGAAGGCGACGGGGACATGCCGGACACGCCACCAAGAGCCCGGCCGTCCCAGCGTGTCGGTACAGCCAATTGGTAAGCGTTTGTAGGTACATAATGGTTCGCGATTGCAAACTGCGACATGCATGGAAGCGGCTAGAGGTCGGTGTCGCACGGGCTTCGTCATGGTGCCCCATACGTAGAGCGGTAGTGCCCCGTCCGTGTATCTGCGTGCGCGTAAAAAACGCTCGTTGGCGTTTTTTTTTTTTTTTTTTTTTTTTTTTTTTTTTACAAGCGGAGATACTGCTTTGAGATAAGCTAACGGCAGCAAGCGTTCTAAATTCGAACCTGACCTTTCTAATTTACAGGCGGGCTCGTCTTGCACAGTTTCAGGCTGCATGCTGTTAGCTTCGGCTTTGCCCGCTCGTAAGGTGAAACCGCAGCGGCTGCGCTAGCGCGAGACGGTAGCCTTGACTGCCTCGAATGGTGCTCTCGCTGCACGAGCGGTGACACGAACAGTGTGAAGCGTCCATGCTCTCGCGCACATTCCAAGTCGACGCCATGCACGCACGCGCTGGAGTTTGGAATATACTACTAGATTACAGAACATAAGAAGCACAGCGTGTGACAGAAACAGTGGCGCAAGCCGCGAGGTAGCCACTTCGGCGAACGAGAGCACGCGCCAAACGCATCAATATCGAATAACTGCCCGAAGCCCTTCCGCAAAACAATGCATAAATAGTAAAAAAAAAAAATGTTTTTACAGATTTTACTTTGAACGTTGTGCGAATGTAGCATGTTAGTGGCTTCCGCGAAGCCACGAACATGAATGACTGTGCTGGTGCCACTAGCAAGCTGTGTTGAACTACAGTGTAGTTGAACGTTTATACCGGGTGTTCCAAAAGGAAGTTCACACACTAAAATGGCTTGCAAAAATCAGAATCATACAGGACACCCTCTATGTTCACAGCCGGGCATTTCCACGTTCCTCGTTCTGGAAAGCGAGCAAAACACGTACCATACCCATGTTCCCTGAAAGGGGCATTAGCCAAAAGAAGCATTTTGCACATGTACTAGCCGGTGCAGGTAAAATTTAAATAGTGGTAGGCTGTAGATTGTCCCGGAAAAAGTGACTTCTGCACAAAGCTAGCTCAAAATTTCATCCAGGATTATTTCGGTGGTGCAGATTACCTTGTGGACCTTCAAAGCATAGCCTCATTTTTGCAAAAAATAAGAAAATAAGACTCCCCTGTATCTGCATGACAGACAACCACACAAACGACCAAGTCGCACAGAACAATTAGCCGATCAGTTGATCATTCCAGTTTGAGTCCGCTGCGAAATGAGTCTTTGCATTGAAAATAGATGCGAGGAGTCATTTTGCGTTATACTTGGGTGGACTGGAGCTATTGATTGGCCCTAACCGTTTGATGCGATTTTGTCGTCTACATCGGTGCCTGCCACAAAGATTTAGAGGAATGTTGTTTTTATCTCTCAGAGAAACAGAGCTATGCTTTGAAAGTTTACATTGAAAGCATAGCTCTGTTACAACTAGAGGACACCCTTGGTGAAAATTTGAGCTAGCCACATGCAGAAGCCAATCTTTCCGGCGCAATTTAGCCTCCAAACTGCGGCTCTTCGTGTCCTAAAGTGAGACTCTCATGATCTGAAAACGCTAAAATTTAAAATAAATAGTTGGGACCAGACGTCAAGCTGGCTCATGAAAACATTATAGTGAGAGGCAGATGCAAGACACGATATAGAAAAATACTGGACCTTGGTTTTCACTGTCAATGAGCATTTAAAAAAAAAATGTTATGTCAGAAGGGGGCAAATCAGGTGGAAACATAAGCTCGACCTTTAGATTTGTTAATTTCCTTATTTTTTGCTGCACACTAGGTTTACCCAGTGTTAGTTCTGTGTGGGAAATTTTATTAAAATTTACTCTCCTGGTTACCTTTCAGTACTAGCTTCATTCGTACAGGGTAGTGCAGCTGCCTAATGAAATGCCGAGCATAGTGCTCTATGCGGTATCTGATCTACTTTCTCCGCTTGGTAGAAACGTTTGGTTGACACGAATTGAGATAGACACCTAAAAACTTTTGGTTGACAAGAATTGGAGATAGACACCAATGCCTTTTGAGCACTCTTAGTAGATTCTTGTTGAACAAACTTTGAAAGCATTCAGCCTTTTAAAGTTTTGTGTAAAATATGTACCTTTGTATTTACATCCAATATTTATGAATGCCACCCAGAATCTCTAAGCAAAGGTTATACCAACAGGTGCTCCTGCAACAGCAGCTGCCGACCAATGGAGACTGACCAAGAGTCAGTGTGCTGCCTCGAACTGCAGGATGTGAGGGAGCTGTGCAGCAATCAGGGGGTGCCTTGTATCACAAAGCACCCCCTGTTTGAGCTGCACTGCCTAAATAGGGATGTGTTGGAGCTGGAATACATCAAGTTGCAGTTCTACTGCCCCATCGACGCACAAGACAGAGGACCACAAGAGTATGTAGCTCCATTTCTTGTCAAAAATTCAGGTCCAATTTTTTAACGCAGATTGTGTTTATACAACAGTTTTCGTGAATTTTTAGACTGTAAGATTGGACCATTACAGGAATAGTGGTCCAATCTTAGTCGCATGACCACTATCCGTAGGGTCTTGTGACCATTGTCTGCGGGGTCGTTTGTCTTATCATAAAGGCTGGAAATAAGAGGGCAAACGGTGGTCAGATGTTTACATGACCATTACCTATTGTAGATGACCCCGCAGAACATGTGTTTGAGCGAGCTCAACATATTCTAAGCTTTTCCAATCTTTGTCGGCATGATCAAGCTGGCCTCATTTTATTTCGGTTGGTACCCCTTTCGTTCCCAAATCCCCCATATCTACACAGTGCTCACAGTTCTTTTGGTTTCGTCCTCCTCAGTCCCTAGACTCACTCCAGCAGTTAGCACAAAAATAGGAGTTCTGAAATATGCATAGTCTATAGTTTGCAACAAGATAAGAGTTCAGAAGCAGCTGGAAGCTGTGTGAGTGTGCTTCTGGTATGAAAGGCACTGAAGACAGAGCTTTGACTGCACTGTTAACCTGTCTCCCACTTATTCCCAGACCAAATTTTGCCACATAGGTTAATTATGGAAGTAAATATATAGGGTGAATAATGCTTGCATCCACATTAGTTATGATCTCAATTTCAAGGTTATTAGGGACAGTACATTTGCCTTCAATGCTCCACCAAAAATATTTGTTATCATTCCACTCATGACAATGTAATAATGTGTTTTATTTTCCGTGAAAAAATGTGTGACGTAGGGAGACCGAGGAAAAAAGCTGCACGATGCAGCTTGACAAGCCCTCGGCCTTCCATCCTTACATTTGAGAGCAGCGGCACAGAAAACAAAACAAAAAGAGAAAAATTAATGTAAAATATTCACAGAAAAGGAATACATACAAACAAAGCACAGTTCAATACAGCAAAGTGTGACAATACATTTATGGTAGTATTATCTAAAACATGTAAAGATCCATAAGATAACACATTTGTCAAGTGACAGTGACAGAAATATGAATGAAATGACTGTAAAACTACCTTTCGTCGATTAAAAAGAACAAAAAGCAATTGATCTAACAGATTGAAAAGATGAGCTTGTTCAAGCAAAACTGAATATAATTGAGTCCCTGTAATATCCAAGTCACTAAGAGCAGTCAGCTTTACAAAACCCCAGAACCAAGGAAAAAGTGAAGGGCAACAACACACAGGATTTGAAAGCAGCTAAAGCTTTTTTAGACTACACTCTAAATAGCATCCCCTTTTCTGCCCTTGAATCCATACCCACTAAGAGGCTGAGCAGTTGCCGTCGCTTGTGTCACATTCCTTCCAAGTCGTTTTCGTGCATGGAACCTTAAACATGTATACATGCCTGGAGGCTCATGTATGCTCATACATGCCTGGAGGACATGTGTCTAGAGACCATGTAGGGTGTGCAAAGTCCAGAGACTATATGCCAAGTGTTTATGCATGGAATCAAGTTGGTGTCATGACTGCCAGATGCTGCTCGGCCTCTTAATGGGTGTAAAAGCAAGGACAGAAGGGGGATGCTACATAATGAACCAGCTGCACGTGAGACTGCAAGTTGTCATAGGGTTTCATTAAGGTGAACGCTAACAACCGTTCTTCTTTTTCAAGTCTTTAATAAGGGATGTCCAGTTTCCAAAACTACATAACAATAAGGTTGAAAACTTCGGAGTAACTGAAGATTGTTCACAGAACGTGAACAAGGTCTGAACGTGGAGGAGGCCTGAAGTTAATAGAGATTGGCGTCTTTCTTGAAGCAATCAACTGACCAGTGGATCATGATGTCTTTTTTTTTTTATTGCAGGAGGTACCGGTACACCGCCTACAGGCAATTTACGTGGTGGGTTTACCACATACTTGGACGTGGAAACAGGAAGGTGTTGCCGAGCTGCGTAGTGTCAAGGATTCGACAGGAGTTCCCATCCTTTAACGGGAGATACGTAGGCTTCCGCCAATAAACAATACTGGACACCTGAAAAACTCATTTATATACTTTATCCAGTACACAGCCTAGAGGCAATTTACGTGGTGGGTCTACCACATACTGAGACGTGGTAACATACATGGAGGCGTTGCCAAGCTGTGTGGTAACGAGGTTTTGACGGGAGATACATAGGCTTCCGCCAATAAACAATATTGAACACCTGAAAAACTCATTTATATACTTTGTCCGGTACACTGCCTAGAGGCAATTTACATGGTGGGTCTACCACATACCGGGACGTGGTAACACGTAGGCGTTGCCAAGGTGTGTGGTAACGAGGATTCGACGGGAGATACCTAGGCTTCCGCCAATAAACAATACTGGACACCTGAAAAACTCATTTATATACTTTATCCAGTACACAGCCTAGAGGCAATTTACGTGGTGGGTCTACCACATACTGAGACGTGGTAACATGGAGGTGTTGCCAAGCTGTGTGGTAACGAGGTTTTGACGGGAGATACATAGGCTTCAGCCAATAAACAATAATGGATGCCCGAAGAACTCATTCACATACTTCATCACTTCCAACCCCTTTGAAGCCACTTCCATCACTAGGAGGTAGCACATGTCACCAATCCCCATGTTCAACAAATGGGCACAGGAATAGACTGCAGTGTATAGTGTTTGAAAGGATTACACATGTGAACCAAGAAGGAGATATGTCAGACATGCACGTCCGCCAAGTTTTGCAACTTCTATGCTTTCTATCGTGGCAGGATGGTGGCTGGTCTCAAAACCTAAAGCTTTCTGAAAGGATGCAGCTTGCCTTAGACCCAAAGGGATGCAAACTAAAATTTGGAGTTAATAAAATTAGGGTGCCTTCCTGTGCGCTTTGCTTAGGGTGATGACATCAAGCCATTTTGTTCCTTGATTTTTCTGTCTTTTGCTTTGAGCGCGTGCCGTGTCGAGCTCGTAGCTTCGCTTGTGCTGCTGCACCATTTTGTTCCCCGCTATTTGTATTCCCATGAGCGCGCACCATCGGCATCGAGTACTACAAGGGGTGCATGAATGCACCCTACATAAAATAAGGCAGGAGCGGTAGCTGACACGCAGTGTACAAATAATGAATGTCCATCAGAGATAACACGTGAGCAGCTTACAATTTTGCGTGCTTTGTTTCTGTGGGTAAAACGAAGCTTTCATTCCTTTTTCTTTAGGTAAAAATACAACCACAATCAGCATTCCAGGTATATACAGTAATCAATAATGGACTGCTGTGATTGTTCCTTTCCTTGCTTTTCTCTCTCATTCTTCTATTCAGCTGGTACCTTCAAAAAGGATAACATGAACATTCATTCGAGCTAAGAGTCCATCTAATGCCAAATGCGGTGGAAAAATGAACCACATCTCAGCGTAGGTCAATTCCTGAATACGCCAGCCATGAGGCACCATTGTAAGGCAAGAAAAAATGTGACCTTGTCTAACGCTGTCTGTCTCTTAGATCCCTAATCTAAGACATCTCTAAAATTGAGAGAGAGAAAGATCCTGTCTTATTCACATTACTTGTGCTCAACATAGCTGCAACAAGTCTAGGTGTGACGGGAGAGAAAAATCCCCCCAAACACGGGCAAAATTATGCACCTGGTCTATTTTGAATGCATTTTGCATGGTGTTCGAAACTTACTTTGTTGACAAAAATATGAATATTGGTTTCCTGTTTCATTCGCATGATGAGAAAACTTTGACCAATGTGGGTTTGCTTTTTCTGAGGAAAAGAACTGTTTGAATAAGGCAACATATGTCGGGCGAAACGTGACAATGTTGCTATCTTTAATACTGATGTGCATATTAGTTAACCCTTTAACCACCCGGCCCGAGCTGTATTCGTCATGAAAAGTTGTACCAGTATCGCCGATGACGAGTCAGACTCGTCCAGCCACAATGATGGTTTGCTTTCACTGCCAAACACAAGACAGGTTCGTCCATCGGCTTTAGTTTCAATTTTCAATACAGGAGGGCAGGAGCAGTCGCGCAAATATAGCGTGTTTTGGCCTTTGACGTGTATCTAGCCTTGCAACAGTGATCAGAAATGGCAGCACGCTTGAGTGATGCCGGTGACCTCGGACCCTCAGAAACGGGCTCTCTCTTGCGGCAGTTCGAACAGTAGTAACGATGAAGACATAGAATTGGTCTCTGAAAGTGAGTCGGACATGGATTTTTGAATACGAAACGGACTTAGACGACGACCAAAGTGACGAAGGGGACGACGCGCTGGGTAGTGTTAGGGTGTGGCAACGCATAAACACTGAAAACCCACCACCCGTGCCTCCGAGGTTTCAGTTTTGTGCAGTGCCTGGGATTGTGTGGCAACCCACTGACGAAAAAGACATTCTCGGCTGGTTCGAGGTTTTTTTCTTATTGGGATCTTGTCGACCTCATTGGGATAAACTTCTGCATGCAACATGGCGTGCGTTGCACTCTGGGAACTAGTTGGCCATGGGAGAGAGTGGCATGGTTTCGGTTTTGACTGACACGTCGACAAGTATATATACACAGACGAGGACTATTGTCGGTCGTTACCTCATGTTTTCTGGTCCTGAGAGCGTCATTTTTGATCTCTAAACTAGCCTAAATGGCCAGACCTCAAAGCTTTAGCACAAGCCCGAGACGTATAGCTTGTTTTTACACATGCTTGTTGTATTTTCGTGCCCGAGCCTTCCTGTTTCCATTCCGAGGTATGCAAACGAGCCAGTGGTGGGAATCTCGACGCTGCGAAGTTCGGGGATCTTGCTTGTGTATGAGTCAACAAGCTGTAACAATTAGTTTTGAAGAGGACATTGAAATACTTCCAAATACTGTTAAACGGAAAAACAGAGAATGTATCAATAGACAGGCTTAAGCCCACGCATATCCAACCGTTGCATCAGTATTCCTCACAGACTAAAGTGTCCAAACCAGCGCACCGCAAAGTTTGTTTTTCTGCTTTAAATTGCCTGGAAGGGAATAGTGTAGCGGTCATCACGCCAGCTCTTGAACAGAAAGAAAAAAAGAGGACGAGAGGAAGAGAAAGCTCGCGAGCAAGATTGAGCGGCTAGGTTTCGAAGGTCGTGACAGTGACCTGTACCTAATATGTAAATAATGTATATATAGTGATTGCTATATACGCATACATCGAGCTCGCACCTTTACATTACTGTTGCTGGTCAGGAAGTTTGTTTGCTTTGTGTGTCCATGGACAAAATATAGGCTTTTGCAATCACTGTTTTTCTTGATATGCCTGAGTACGCGAGGTAAAACTCGGAGGCGCCGTTGAAAAGCTAAGTTTGAGCACACTTCTTATCTCTTATCTGTACTGCCCCGCAGCACTGCACGAAGTGAAGTCTCCACCCGTTTGCATTCCACTAATATTTAACAATCCTATGCCCATAAAGTTATCCTGCAATCATATAGGCACATTTGCACATACAAACCGTTTTAAGAGAGCATAAGTCGAGCACTTGTGTGAAGAATGTCGCACAGTTCGCCGGAAGTGCGCTAGACGATCGTGAACCCCTATGCAGTGTGTCAAACAAACAAAATTGTTCAAACCGCGTTTGATGGTTGCTAATGGCCGTAATATTTGTTACGTGTTTGCTCTCTTTCTGACTGAGTATGCCGAGATAATTTGCTGACGCCCCACAGATCTGGGGCGTCAGTAAAAGCTTGTCCAAAAAGGCTTAGTGAGGAGTAAGGGACGCTTGTTAGAGCCTCCGTCGTAGCTAGCCCATTTCAGCGTTTGCAAAAACTTCATCTCCTATACGTGGCTTGCACAGGACGTCATTTCCGTTGCCCTCCAGAGAAGAGGGGAAAAAGGAGCTCCCCTCTTATCAGGATCCTCCTTTGTGCCTCCCGGATTTGCACAGGCGTCGCTATTCTCCTCCCAGAAGATTATAGAAGATTAACCTGTCAGTCAAAATTCTTACAAAAGCAGCTTCTCTCTCCTCCTTTTACTTGGTGTTCAAATGTGTGCGATGTGACATCAGTGCAAGGAGCCTATCAGCATAAACCTTGAGTGGGAGATGTATGATGACACGAGGAAGACATGATGGTAATTTTTGTACAGTAGCGAGGTCGAATTTATTGAGTTTCCTTGAAAGTTCATGTGTCAACGCTGGGCTCAACTTTGGTACTCCTGCGAGGATGCGGCTTGCTTTTCGCTGAATGAAGTAACAAGAAGCGGACGTTTGGCAAACAAAATATGTGTAAGGCTCAAGGTGACAACATTTCAGATGTAGTTCACAGGTACTAGACGGGATTATTGAAATTGAGCTCAAAGATGCACTCGAGGGGTGAGGTGTCTAAGGCACGTCTTACTGCGTTTGTATACGCACGCACAATATCCGGTGCTTCGGGAACGAAAGAAAGGGCCCCGGTCTTTGTTTTGCATCACTCGAGAATGAATGTATTGTACGTTCGTGAAAAGTCAGACAATTAGAAACGCCAGCAGCGCATTCGGTCACGGGGTGATAGCATGACATGAAGCTGCTCAATCGAAACCGGTGGCCAACTAGTTCCCAGAGTGCACTGCATGGTATTTCGCCGCAATGGGGCGCTTCGATTTTGGAAGATGTCTATTGAAACAGAGACAAACCGCTACACGGTCCCGCATTTCTCAGCGCGGGGTTCTTCATGGAAACCGGTGGACCGCAAAGAGATGATGGTGTTCCTTGCGCTAATAATTTTGCAAGGAATCATTGGCAAACCGCAGGTTGAGATGTATTTGTTAGCACTAGTACGGAGAAAGGTCTAGGCACTTATTTTTTGTTACGGTGCGTATGTTCAAATAAATACTGCACACTTCAGCATGTGTTATTCTATTACTCTTACATGCACTGAGGAAAAGCTTCCATAAAAATCAACTTTTCCTTTTAAAAGTTTTGTGTTAATACCAATCAGAAACCAATCAAGTAATGCATTTGCAAAATTAGAACGACGTAAGAAAAAATATGTGCAAATAGAAAAATTTGGGAAAGTTTGTATATTGTTTTTGAAAATAACTTGGTGGTTAAAGGGTTGAGTCTTGTGGTTGCTTCATAGCTATTTTCTCGTCGTCCCATTGTTCGCAATGGCCTGTATGCACAAAATAAGACGAGTATGTATGGTGTGCAAATGATATGATGAAAGCCCTTGGATAGGAGTAGCGACAGCATCACTCCGTTCGCTCTGCCGCCTGCATTCGAGACGTCCAAAACGACTTGCTACAAAGGCATAATCTGTACAACCAGTACAGGGTGCGAGTGATTCTTTTTTTATATATTATCCTGCTGAGGCACTTTTTTTACCCCACTTGCTGTCTCGTTTTGTACCGGGGTTCGGGACAAAATGAGGTATTCGCTACTTATCATTACCGATTAATACATTGTGGTTCTACTTACTCGAATAAACAGGCAGGACTTTCTAGATTGATGCTGTCTGGAAACCGACCCGCAAATTTGTGCCTTATTTTGTCCCACCTCACTTTTCGCTCCGTCCTTCCAGTTTCTTTCATACCTAACTGTACAGAATTAGGTTGGCAAGAGAGGATCTGTGCTTTGTTAAAAAATAGACCGAACTCGCCAAGCGTTCCGCGCATGCGTGACGCCACCATAACTTTAGTTCACAGAAGGAAAACGGCAGTGCACGATAGGGGTCGTGCCGTCTCGTGCTGTACACGCGCAGAGCTCCAGCGAGGTTGTCGCACGTGCAGAAAGACTAAAGTTCCCTCAATGCATTGCGGCAGCGGTGGCGTAGTCAAACTGGCTGGTGAGATCGGTCTATTGGGTAAAGCTAGTTTTGACGCTTGCCAGTAGGAGGTCAGATGTGCAGTACAAGGTCACGCTTCACCCAGACGCGAGACCATTCACAATCATAGACTCGAGACGGGTACCCCTACTTCTCTTACCCAGAGTGCAACAAGAATTTCAATGCATGCTAGACATGGACGTCATCGAAAGAGTCGACCAGGCCACAGCACGGTGTGTACCTATGTTAGCTGACAAAAAGAAAGATGGTTCCCTCCAAGTCTGCACAGATTACACGCAGCTAAACCAACAGCTAGTGAGGGAGTGCATCTTCACGTCGACAGTGGAAGAGAACTTTCCAACGTTTGCAAAAGCAACAGTTTTCGCCAAACTAGATGCCAGTGCTCGCTACCAGCAAACATCACTAGCTCTGAGTTGAGAGAACTGACAACTTTCATCACACAAGTGGGGCACTTTCAGTTCAAGAGACTCCCGCTTGGCATTGTGACAGCGCCAGAACTCTTCCAGCGGGAGATTTTGTGGATCCTAGACAGAATCCAAAGAACAAAGGAGAGCACGACCAAAATCTTAAGTTTCTACTCCACCGCCTCCACGACGTCGGAGTGAACTTGCACCACGCAAAGTGCGAGTTCACAAAAGAGTCGGATTTCATGAGCACATTGTGGACTTCAATAGCATTGCAATGGACCTCCAGCGTAACGGAGAAGTAGAGAGCGGTGAAGGCTGGACAGAACCTGCTTAAAACCCACTGAACTGCTGTGGTGTCGGAAGGGTTCTCCCCTACAGTGCTGCTTACTAGGAGGAGCCTACGCTCTACGCTTCATGGTGCACCGACTACCCTAATGCACCTGCTGTGGTGTCGGAAGGGTTCTCCCCTACAGTGCTGCTTACTAGGAGGAGCCTACGCTCTACGCTTCATACTGCACCACTCCAAGAGCGGCAGCAACACAAGAGATGAGAGATGAGAAAGGCATCTAGCACACACTGCGAGACCGGCAGCTACTCCCCCACTCAGGGATGTGGATTTGTGCCAGTGTGACCTTGCAAGGACTTGTACAAAGCCAGGCCCCAACTTTCATCTCGCTACCTGTTAAACCTTGACTGGTGTTGTTGCACCAGTGCCTGTTTGTCGGCACACTCATATGCACTGGACAGGAATGGAGGTGCATCCTGGCTGTGCAGTTCAATGGCGGCAGCATAGGAGGGTATGGTCTTGCACAGGTCCAGCACAGCTGCCATCAGCTCCCCCACATACTCTGTAACGAGAGATTCGAAAACGTTCAAGAATCTGCACCAGTTATGTATAAATGAGCACTGGCATATACCGTATGTGCAGCCAGTTTTGTGCGGAGCAACCACAGCCCCCTTCTTCGCTTTAGGGAACTTGATGACCCAGACGAGCTCCCCATCTTTGGTCACTGCCTGGGGCCTTCCTGCGTTCTCGTTATAATGCAAGGCTGCCAGGAAGGTCCTGAAAGTAAATGCATGATTCAGAAACACCCAAAAGAAAAATGACTTGACTTTCGTACACACCTTGCCTTCATGCTGCGGAAGCTGTAGTGCATTAGCTTCGGTGCAAACTGCAACAGGGTGCTATGGAAGCACTCCGTTGCAAAGGTCTGTGCTGATGTGGATAGCCGAGGGATGTCCCGTACAAGGTGTGGGGAAAGGACAATCTCCCGCAGCTTCTGATGAGCAGGCGATCCTACAACAAGTGTGTGAGACATGATAAATTATGGCCTTGTGTATTTTAAGCGTCACAGATGTGAGCTCCTTACCTTCCTCTAGCCACTTCTTATGTAGCTCTTGATGCTGGCACTCTGGGAACAGAGGATCACGGTGGGAGTGCACATTTGCCACGTGCGCCACCAGGGATTTCCACTTGGGAAGGATGAGGTCCTGGTCCTCAGGACTCGTCCCCGCAGACCAGTAGAGGTGATTGACCACCGCCTTGGTCCAGGAGCTCAGCTCCTCCAGGTGCCGCGACTTCCCAGCCGCAACCAGCTTCTTCTTGATAGCTGAAATGAAATGTTGCAAGCCATGTAAAAGTGAGGCAACTATGGCCGTAGCAGAGCCACTAGCCTCTCTTAAAAAGTGGGTGCCACCTGGAATCTGTCAACACACATTTCCTACATTTCAAAATATCTTAAACCAGCAGTAGCAACAATTACAATTGGAGTTCTTTATATGGGAGCAAACACAGTGTCAATTAAATTATTATTGCTCCGGCTCACTTCAAATCACCATAGGTATGGGCATTTATTTCCTACTGCATTTGCTTTCCCAGCTGCTAGGTTCACAAATTGGCACTCTATTTCATTTTGGAACAAGTTTGGAGGTGGCAATTGTGCATGATGCACGGTCAAGCATACACGCTCAACTTTGCTGCTTAGTACCGGTGCGCTCCAAGCAGTACTTTAGGCAGAGAGACTGTTTGAGTAGCTCAATGGGCTTGCAAATTTTGCACACCCTTTTCGATCGCCATTTTTTCATTACGTCTCTGTATCAGTTATCCAGTTTAAGGTAAGCTCCTAAGAAAGAAACAGTTTATTTATGTTGGTACAGTCGTGTGTCATTAATATAGACGTCTCCATTCCCCAGACAAATCATCCATAATGTGAGTCATCCATACCGAAGCAATGTCAAAAACCAACATTAAGTAACAAGCGTAGCACTGTCCACTCGTGCTTAGTCATCATCTTGTCCACCCTAAAACTGACCGCAGAAGCGTCCAACCTCGCATTTGATGCACAGCGATTAGGGGTGACTAAGGGTATGTTATCCCGGAACGGGACGACATACCTTTTGGCTTGAAAGGTTGAAAAAATCCCACCACCTTTAGGAGCGTAGGTTTTATATCAAGAGGGGCAACGGACAATAGTGAATTCCGGGTACACATTGGGACCTCTGCGGGTCTATTTTTTTTTTTGCCACGTGGACCCGTATCCATAATAATGAGGCGAAAATACCTGTATTTACCCATTTCGTCCCCAAACTAGCTGTCTATAGTCCTGACTGCGTGTTTCTATATTAACGAGGAAGATTTGCATGATGAGAGACCGGTCGCCGACGAAAATTTTGTCCATATTGCGGGGTGTCCATAGTAACAAGGTTCAGATTTACAAGAAATGACTGTACTATAAATATGACACTTCTCGATGGCCGTGAAGTTTGTCAGAAACAAATTATTGAGCGACTGTTGCTTATTGTTACATATATACACCCCCAAAAGCATTATACTTGTAAGTTATTACATTTCCCCTGATTATACACTCTTTTACTGCTGTCCCCTGAAAAACATATTGATGGGGTCCTACTGCACTCACTTGCAAATAGCAGCATTCATCATAACAGCCCACACACCACTGGTAATAGTGTAACTTATTGGCACTGAGAGGACCAGGCCAAAGGGGGAGGGGGGAGGGGGGGGGGGGCCATAGGGTCCGGCCTCCCCCCTCCAAAATCTTCCATTTTGCTGGGGCCTCCTCTCCCCCCTCCCCCTCATACAGCACTTTGCTATGGACGGGCCCCCTCCCCGAAACACAATCCTGGCTACGTGCCTGGAGAGGACCATTATAAATTTTACCCTTTGCCACGTGCCAGCAGTCGAACAGGTGGCAAATGTCCGGGTGCTCCCGTGCCAGCCAGGCGTTGAGCTGGGGGTGTCTGTCCGTCACCAGGATACCCACTACCAGGCAGTGGGCCTCAAAGATGTTGAGGGACCTTTTGAGGCCTTCCAGCTCCATGTGGTAACTTCCACCGGTTTCATTGGACTGCAACAAAATGGAGAGAACATTTTACAGCATAAATGAAATAAACATGCTAATAATTAGGGCTGGGCAACTGATTGATTAACTTTCAGATTAATCAATCTTTTTAACCGGTTAATCGGTATGTGGGTTAACCAAAAGAAAAGTATGAATAAAGTTTTTGCTTTTCCACCCTACTACTCCCGTACTCCTCAGAATGAAAACACCTGCCCCCACTCTTCGGCGGGTACGTGCAGCAACAATAACATTGGGGGGGGGGGGGGGGGGGGGGGGGGGGGGAACAGAAACAGGCTTTACAATATTCAGTTGACCTTAATCGTGCTGGCGACGTTGCCATACCTACAGTCCCGCCATCTCTCGCAGGCGGCCTAAAAGAGCGCGCTGCGCCTCGAGCCTCTCAGCGGCAAGGATGCAAAAGAAACATTTTGTGCAGCTTAGCTGAACAAATGACACGACCTTCGTGGGACAATTTTTCGGCATTCCCCCGTCTCCTTTTGTGTTTTCTGTGAACACTCCCAGAGCGCGAGGGAAAACGACCCGTCAACATAATTGGCGGAGTTCCGCACAGGGATGAATGGGTCCTTCCTCTCTGTCTATACCCTGACAATCGCTGAAGCCGTGACAGAAGGAGCCGCCTGAACCGATGATGGCGGATCAGTTAGAGGGAATCAGATGAGCAACGCGCGTTCTTCTGTTGTGTCTTGGGAATTGTTCACGGGCTTTTTCTTCCTTTTCCGAATGTTCTTTCGTTGGATTGAGGACATGTGAACAACACTACATTTGAACTAAGTGGTTCCCTCTCGAGAGCGAGAAAAAAGCCCCTGTGCAGTCACGGACGAGGACACCAGTATGAAAAAGAATCCTTTAGAGAAATTTGAATTCATAGTAAACATCAGGCGCGATTTTTGCAACCTAAAGAAAGTTCAGAGAGATCTGTACCCCGCCCGCATCCACGCTGTGTAGGCAGGAATGATTGTGAAGGAGCAAAGGAACTTATTCCTGCCAGAGGATGTCAACAAACTTTTTGCCTCTGCGGAAATCTGCAAGTTTCTTTGAACTATTTTGAACTGCACAACTATGCTGACCCCCACTGAGCCCTTCGTCATTTATTCCATGGTAGAAGCGATCGCCAAGAGATGAAATATATATTTTTTATCTTGTTTGATGTGTTTTGCCTGGAAACGAGTGCAACCCGATTAATCGATGGGATTTTCTTTTAAATCTTGCACACCTTCATTAAAGTTGATAACATTAGATACAGAAAGGCTATTGTGATGGAAACGACACGATCGGATGTTGTCAACATGCTCTAGAACTTTTATATTGAGCGGCTTGTGCACAAATTAATATATAAAAGTGAGGTAATTAATATTTGTTAATTTGCCAGTTTGGCATATCGCAAAAGAATATTAGAACTTCCTCAATAGGGCTGCGAGCAATACTGTGTTGGCTCACACACCCAGTGCGCGCCAGTTTTTGTGGTACTCTGTATACATTTACTAGCCTGTGATTTTCACAGTGTGGAAAGTATAGCACTCATAGAGTTTCTGTACATACCTGGACAGTTTCCACGTGAAGGACCTTGTTGCTGTCAACATCCAGCATGGTGTAGGTGCCGTACTTGGCACTGTGACCAGGCGAATCCGCCCTCCCATCACCGGCGATCGTCAGCTGCTTTCCTGCAGCAGCTGTGAAGAGGTCCAGCTGATGCTTGTTCCACACCTGGTTTTGAAAGACAGAGCATTCCTAAAATGTAAACGGGGCTTCACTCTAATGTAACTGGGCTCGGGTGGAAGATAAACAGATTCAGGTCCCCTCTTCTGCTATCTACTGTTACGCCTGAATAAATTAGTTTTAATAGTGCAAGGGTCCGGTCTGTCCGGAGCCCAAAGTGCACACAGAGGAAGAGGTCGATCCTCGATTTTTCTATTACACCTGCGTGAGAAAACCCGACTTTCTACGGCAGATAGTTCCTGGGCCCACTTGTTTCGGGCCAATAAGTTGAAAGAGCACGAGAAGGACAGTGGCAAGGAGCCTTCTGCATGTTGGGCTTTAGCCTCAAAGTACCTTTTCAATTGCAGGATGGAGAAACGCCTTCTGGATCGTGAAGAAGGTCCTGTAGGTGAAGCAGGCTATCCCCATACCAGTCAGCATCCTCAAGGTCTTTTTGATGCAGCAGCCAGTAAACAAAGCTGAAGCAGCCATGAGGATGTTGCCAACCGGCTTTCGCCTGATGATCGGCTGGCTACACCAGTTATCCACGTGGCCATTCTTGCAAACGGTGGAAACCTGGAGACAGCAGCCTTGAACACTCTTGTCCATGTGGATGACAGAGGCAGCACAGGTTCGGCACGTGTCGAGCAGCACATCAAGGCAGGATTCAAAGACGATGAATTTCCTCTCTTCCACCAGGGATGGCGCTTGCTTCTGAGGCCTGCGATAGAAAAATAACGATCATCTAAACAACTGAACTATTCATTATGGATGATCCCATAAACCCTTGCTTAACAGAACCTTCGCACAAACCTCTCAAAGCTGTCTTCCGATGGAGAATAGTCAGGGTCGGCGGCTTGTCTTTGCTGCTCGCCCGAGGAATCGAGGTCCCATGGATCCGAGGAATGCAACGGGGAGGAAGCCCACAACAGTGTCCCAGAAACCTCTGTCTGGACAGTCCGGGTCCTTGACGGTGGCTTGATGCATGCTTGGATTGCTACCGAACAGTGTGTGGCTTTAGAAACATGCCATTTTTCAATACAATGAACAAACATCCACACGTGAAGGCAGAAGGTGGCTTCTCCCTCCCCTTCCTGCAAATGCCACACAAGAATACACCTGTACCCCCAACCCACTTTCTTCTCAATATAACTGGCCCTACCTTCACAGCATTGAGCAAAGCGTCCCATCAAAGAACTGTATCTGTAGCCTCTTCCAGTATATAAAAAAAAAACTTGGCTCCAAGTTCCATGCACAAGCTGCTATCTTATGACACCAGTTCATTCTCTATATCAGTAGTTCCTAGACTTTTGGACATCACGTGCCGCCTGACCCACTCAGAGGCTACTCGGAGACCACAACTGAGCACAATATGAAATATGGCTATCTCTGCATGAACATGACCATAGTGCATCGGATTGAGAGGAGACAGCTGTGCTTGGAAGGAGAGTGGAGGGGTGGGCACATAATGTTGGTTGATGCTGGCTCTGCTCTCCTATGGTTGCATCCATGTAACCCCAGCATAAGATTATAAAGCTAACACAGAGAAAGGCACACGTATAGGGCATAAAAGAAAATAATATATTAACAGCTGCCCAGATTACGTATTATGTATTTCATATGGATTGAAACTTATTATGATTCTTTTCTTGGAACTAATGCAATAAAGCAGTACAAAAGCCTACAGACCTTGTAAAACAATGATGGACTTTTCTAAATAAGTTTGCCACTGAGTGACTGCATTCTCCCACAGTGGTGGTCAAACTAAAAAGACACTTCACTGAGGTGCAGGGATAGTTGAGGAAATATAAGTGTGGTAAACCAGTAATACTTCTCTGGTGAACACCAGGAACCTTATGAATCCAGTTTGGGAAGAGTTGCACTAACAAATGTTCAGAAGTGAAATTCTAATTATATTAATGTATAATTATATATCACCAATATTAAAAAGTGAAATCTGGGCCATGCCAACATATTCATTTCAGTGAAAGACCACACCTGCATTTCTTTGCAAGCCTGCTGTCTGCGTCGTTGCACACTTTTTCTTGCAGCGCCTGGATGCTGCGTGCAGAGTGGGTGTACCTGCACTTGTGACCCTTTGGGTTGCTAAAGAGAGTCCGGAAAAAGCATAGAAGGAAACGATGGAGTCACATGAATTATCTTGAAAATATTTAAGTGATGTCAAAGATGGCAACCAGTTAGGCAATCTGGATATGCGTTTGATAATTCCATCCAAGGTGGGCTACAGTAGCCTGCCTTGGATGGCCTGGTTCTCTACTGCCTTGCAGTAGAGCAGTAGTTTGGTGCGTGTGCGTACCTGTGGGCATGCTGGGGCTGCCTGTTTGTACCAAGGTGGTTGGGGATGCAGCAAGAGCGAGGAGCCAGCTGGACGATGCACCCTGGGTCACTATGGACATGGATAGACGAGCAAATAAAGGAAATAAATGAATCGTATGGAAGCACCAGGAGCAATGGATGCGATGAGATGCTCTTGGTGGTTCTGTGCAAGGCAGGCCACACCACTTAGCGGAGAACCAGTTTGGTGCATGTGCGTACCTGGGGGGGTCCTGGGGCTGCCCTGGGTGGTTGAGGATGCCGCAGAATCAATCACACCGCTCAGAGACGCGCTTGTCATCGCTATGAAAAAACGGGAAATAAAAGGAAACGAATGAGTCAGATGGAAGCACTAGGAGCAACGGACGCGATGAGATGCTCTTGGTGGTTCTGTACAAGGCAGGCTACACCGCTTTGTGGAGAACCAGTTTGCTGCGTGTGCGTACCTGCGGGGGTCCTGGGGCTGCCCTGGGTGGTTGAGGATGCCGCAGAATCAATCACACCGCTCAGAGATGCGCTTGTCATCGCTATGAAAAGATGGGAAATAAAAGGAAACGAATGAGTCAGATGGAAGCACCAGGAGCAACGGACGCAATGAGATGCTCTTGGTGGTTCTGTACAAGGCAGGCTACACCGCTTTGTGGAGAACCAGTTCCGTGCGTGTGCGTACCTGCGGGGGTCCTGGGGCTGCCCTGGGTGGTCGTGGATGCCGCAGAATCAACCACACTGCTCAGGGACGTGCTTCGGGTCGCTGAAGACGGCCGAAAGAGGACAGAGAATAAGGCTGACTAAATAAGTAATGCTCCTAGTAATGAATCATGTGCCTACTATATTGGAGCAGCTGTTACGACCCACCTATGCTGACGCGAAAGAAATGAGAGTTAGGATTAACATACCTGAGCACACAGATGGTTCTGCCTCTTCGTGTTCAGTCTCCCAACATCTGTCAGTGACTCCAACCGGGAGGTTGGTGGCATCAAGTAGAGGTGCCTGATTCTAGGAAGGAATAACACAATGTTAGGTCATCTGACAAATGAGAACTGCAAAGACCCGCTGAACTTTATGCTACAGCCCCCTTTACGGCAGGAGCCGCATATGGCCCTTCATTCTGAGTGGTTGGCAGAGTGTAATCATGCGACCGTCTGTCCGTAGCCTTTGACCTTTGACCTCCTTTCTACCTGACCCCTTTCCCCTCGCTGGCCTCTCTTTCATATCAACTCATCCCCGTCCCATCTCCCTTTTGTGCCCCTTTCTCCCTTTGCTTTCCTCTCTTCCTCGAATGATTGCATGTTCGTGGATTTTGACCTTTGGTATCGACCTTGGACTGCTTCTCATTGCCATCTCCCCCATTCCCCTCTAATCCTTCCTCTTTCCTCTCCCCTTAATCTTTTCTTTCCTCTCTCCTGCATCTCCTCTTATTCCCCGCCCGTCTATCCTCCATCTTACTCTTCTTTCACGCTTCCCCAGCCACCTCATCCTCAGTCCCCTCTTCCTTCCGTCCCCCCTTCCCCCTCCTCCTTTCTCCCTTGCGTGATCGTGTGTTCATGGCGTTCGACCTTCATACTGTACCTTTTCCTCCCTCCATCCTCCACCCCACGCTTCCCTCTCATCCGTCCCCCTATCCACCTCCTCTGCCTGAGATGACGGCTACCGCCGGTCAGCTCACTTGCACTATGTTGCAATGAGCCGTCACTTTTTTTCGTGTGCCGCCTCAGTACGGTATATGCGCGCATTCGTACGTAGTCCATAGGCTCATATTCAATTCGAGTTATGGCATGTTTCATATGTCGCTTGCCATTATTTTGTACAAGATGGTTCGTGTTTGAATTGGGAGGCACTCACTTGATCGAATGACGTTTTAGCGAACGCCCACGTTTCATCGAACGACACTTTAGCGAATAGTCGGACGCCGCGAAGAGGCGTTTTCGGGTGGGCCAAGTGAGCTCATATTTTTGTAATGAGTTGCCGCAGACTGTCGCCGCGAAGCGGCGTAAACCGCAGCTCGACGGATGGGTTAACGCGCGCCCCCGTTATTCGCTAAAACGACCATTCGCTCAAATGTCTCCGTTCGCTAAAATGTCATTCGCTCTTGTGACATGGACCCGTTTGAATTGCAAACACGGAAATCTTTTATGTAGAACATGCTCACTTACCACTTTGCGTCGCTTTTCGAGCGGTTCGCTCAGCGGGTTGGCTTTCCGCTTTTTTGAGAAGATGCTCGGAACAGCTCCTGATTTCAGTCGTACGCTCTTTGTGGGCAGACCGACGCTCTTCAGCGCGCTGGGGCTTCTTTCGTAGTCGTCATCGCAGAAGTGATCGGAGCACAGGCGATCATTTGGGTTCGGAACCCACGTGGGAAACGAGGGACGCGCGAGGCGGGTCCACACAGCACGGAGTTTCTCGTCGGCCGGAAACTTGCGCATCGGCAGCTCGCGACGTGACAAGCTGTTGCCACAACCCTCTGCCGCACAATAGCGCGGCATCGCGGCGTTAAAACCAGGCTAACGACCGGCCGTGCCAGAAGCGTGCTCGCGTCGCGTCGTGCAAGGAGCCGCAACGAGAACGAGCTCACTGTGGCCAACTACGCTTGGGCTTTCTCCGCCAAGGCTTTGCAAACGCGTCCAGGCCTAGGCGAATTCTGCCGGCAGGCTGTATTGCCGCAGAACGGCGCTGCTATTTTGGAACAAGTGATGTCACGAGAACTTCCCCCCATCCACCAGATGAGAATTTGAAATCGTTTAATTATGTTTAAAATTACTTCTCCTGTGTTTTACAGCGCGATATTTATATTTCCGAGATGGTGCCTGTCCCTAGCCCATATTTATGCAACAAGATCGGCGCTAAAATTTCGTTTCACCACCCCTTTAAATCATGTCGTCCATGGCGTATAAACCAACTGCATTAACCGTAATATTTATTGTACTTATTTATTTATTTAATATACTCCACGCCTTTTTGTGGCCCCGGCCGGTTACAGGCAGTAGTAGTTTGTTTAAAAAGCACGACGCACGATGTGTGACCAGTCAAACACGCAGTACAAAACCAGAATTCCTGACACAATAACTCAATACATAACGACGTAGTACACATTACATTATTATGGCATGAATGTAAAAATCCAGCCTGCTTTGCGATTAAATAATGACAGTTTTAACCACATTCAGCTAAAAATTATACACAAAAGGTCAATAGTTTTGGAATATCCCACATGACAAATCAATAAGAGTATTGCTTAATTAACTTCCGGGAAGCACGTAGTCAAGTATTCCAGAAACGACCGAGTTTCGGAAAGTTTCATTAATTTTTCTGGCAATATATTTTTAATTCCAATTTGAATTAAGAACTAATATTTGAACGGGTCATTATTGCCAATATAGGGTCTGATCATCTTACTGTGGTTAGTTGTATTATAGTGACTATAGTTTTTTTTTAATAGTAATCAGAGTTCAATTTAAATCATGGCGAGGTGTATGCATGAACTTTAAGCGAAATATTTCGTCTAACACCAAAACTTTGCAATTCCGATTATTTAAGCAAATCGGTCATACTCTCCGCCCGTGTATGTTTTGAAAAGATAAATCGTAAGCATTAATATTAATTTTTATCGATGCCATGTGATAGATATAGTTCGTGAGGGTTTCAAACAAGGCTCGCATATTCTAATCAGACATGTACACGTTACCCCCCCCCCCCCCCCCCGCCAAAAAAAAAAAAAGAAGTAACTTAATAAGTTATTCATTATTAATTCTCAAAAAATAAAAAAAATAAACGCGTTACTTTACCTGAAAAGTAGCGAGTTATTTTTCTCGATACTTTGACGACCAAATACACAACTGCTGTCGTTTCATGTCTTTTTTTTTTCTATTGGAGCGGTGACAAGGCACACGTAAACCATAAAGTTCACGACAAACAACCCGGAGGTGTACCCCCAGCTATTTCATCTATGGAAAATAAGACAAGGGCTACTACGGAGGCAGAAAGGGCAGAAGAGAAACCGGAAGCTCAAAGCAAGGGTCGCCCCGATCACGAAGCAAGCCGAGTTGTATACACAGAAGCAAGCCGAGGGGTATGCACAGAAGCAAGCCGAGGGGTATGCACAAAAGCACACTGGAAACGCCACGCCAAGGCAAAACAATCTTCGAACACCTGAGCTACAATAAAACAAACCTTACTCCCATTCCATTAAGAACTCCACCTTGGAGGCCACTACCCAGAATCGAAGTTGATTCAATTCCTAACAATATGCATAAAATAAGAGATATAAACAGAATAAATGATAGAGTAAAACGCCCAGAGAAAGAGGCCGAGCACTGAAAGGGATCAATCCACAGGGTGATTCAAAGAGAGGCCAGGCACTTTTAATCGACCGCAAAATTGGTTGTGCTTCGGTGTGTTCACCTATCGCGCTACGACTTTGTGCAGCGTCGCCCACAGATGGTGCTTTTTTTTGTAAAAATGTAAAAAAAAAAACTGAGGAAAAAGTAAAGAAAGAAAAACGCTTAGCTCCTATGGAAACGCAGCGAAGCCACCGGTCATCAAACAACACGGCGCACTTTCGCACGGGAGACAAGAGATGGCGCAAGCGGTCGCGACGCCAACTGCTGCCAACGAACGAGCATACGACGCCGAGAGCCGGCGTCTTTAGCAGACAAGGGACTACGGTTCCTTGTTGTTACCGCGCCTGTTTTTGTTTCTGCGACTGTCGCAGCCTGCGGAACGCGCACCGCTTTTGATTCGAAAAGATCGTCTGCTAAAGACGCCGGCTCTCGGCGCCGTATGCTCGTTCGTTGGCGGCGTTCGTTGCGCCATCTCTTGTCTCCCGTGCGAAACGGCGCCGTGTTGTTTGAAGACCGGTGGTGGCGCTGCGCTCCTATAGGAGCTAAGCCTTTTTCTTTCTTTACTTTTTCTTCGGGTAAATTCGCTCTTTGCAAATTTTACACAAAAAAATGCACCATCTGTGGGCAACGCTGCACAAAGTCGTAGCGCGATAGGATAAGAAACCGAATTTTGCGGCCGATTTAAAAAGCCTGGCCTCTCCTTGAATCACCCTGTATTATACGGACGCTCGTTTTAAAGCGGAGCAATGCACGCTAGCAGTATGGATCCAGAAAGAAATCATAACACGGGAGTTCCAGGGAGTTCCTACTCCCCTGCACGCTGAGCCGCTAACCAGATCCACGTCGACAATTGGGTTCATCAAACACGAGGAGGAGACAGCCATAGCAAGAACGGACAGCCAACATGCCTGCCGAGCTTTTCTAAACAATGAACTACTCACATACATCTACAGCAATTTGCAACGACACATGCACAAATACCCGCTGACAAAAATTAGTATCTAATGGGTCCCTCGACACAAGGAACTGAGAAGTAATAGCCGAGCTCGCGAGCTCACCCTCGAAGCGATTCCGGGACCCCTCTGGCATGGCCGGCAGTGCAAGATTATGAACCGAAATTGCGAAGAAAAAATAAACATATAGTTAGAAAAGAAACTTTTAGGGATGCATGCAAAGTCTCTACTTTTCTACCCTCACCCTCATATACTCATGCAAGAGAGGAAGGGACCTCATACGTAAAAAGTAGACACACACTATACTTACTCCGCACTATATACATTACTATATACATTACATTAAACTGAACCGAAATTTTGAGCACACCAAACAATGCCGGACGGATAGGCGGGACGCTGCAAAAACGAAAATTCTGGAAAGGTGCGTGATAAAACACGGTTGACGAGGCCGACGTAACAAGTCACGTCACGATTATCATTCCCTCTCCTCCTCGCTACGTCCCGTCGAGCTGGTGAACTGAAGCGAAGAGGAGAGAAGCGAGGCCGCTTCCCCTTATTCTCAAATTTTCCTGTTTTCCAGGAGTACAATGACGTCAGAGCGCTCGCTTGATCCCGCCCTTGTTTCTCAAAAGTACGGCCATCCGTTTGAGATATCGATGTATCAGTGCTGTCTTGGAGTTCGTAGCGCTCAACACTTCAGCGGCCTTATTTTATGAAATACAAATTTCGGTTTAGTATCCCTTTAACAATGCTCCAGGTCGACCCATCTGCTCTTACTGCAGTGGATACCCCCGTAACAACCCACACTTTGGGACTGCTCTGCAGACCACCGAGTCGCTATCAGTCGCTCTCCCATCTACCCCAAGCGGCTGGGAGAAATGGTCCTCCCCCCCCCCCCCCCCCCTCTTTCCAGAGCTTCAAAAGCTGTGGTGGCCACCTCTCGTTCATATAATTCGAAAGTGGTGGACGACGGAGATCTGAACGCAGCTACCTAATCAAGAACCCAAGAATCGAGGAACATCTTGGATCTAAACAAAAGTTTCCTCTCTCACTCTCTTTCTCTTTGCGTATACTCACTAATCATTTCAACCAGAGCTCGGTGCACTGTCATCCCTGCGTGCTCTCATCTCCTCCTCTCCCTCAGTTTCTACATGTGTTAGCTCGCTTTTGTAGTTTTTCTGCGCCCACACTCAAGGAGAAAATTAACACAAGCCTTGCGGAAAATTACCGACCCCTGTGCCAAAATGATGATCTCTGTGACTTCTCTTCAGACTTAGGAAGTAATCCGTTACAACTAACGGATTACTTGTAATCTTTTACTTTTCTAAGTAATTTTGTAATTGCCACGTTATTTTTTTAAAGTATTTTTTATCTGATTTTGTTACAAAATATTAATAACATATTACTTTAATTACTTGTTACTTTTTTTTAAATATCAGCATAATACACGAACTAGACCAATACAAGCAGAAAAAGCACCATAAAGAGAGCAAGTTCAACAAAATAGAAGACACGGGGAAAATGGCCGAACTGAAAACACGAGTTTTTGTATGACCGGTCACTAGAACCACTAGAAAAACGGGCAAGACATGTACAAATATACGAAAGACAAAGATCAAGTAAGACAAAGCCGAGTAGGCTCTCCGTCACCTTCCATCGTGTTTTTCTTCTTCTCCCGGGCAGGAGAAAGCTCCTCGTGTTTATTCGTTTTTGTTTTTTCACCGCTTCACCCTTTCCAACTTCTTTGACGTCTCCCGCCACCTGCACAGACACCAAACGCTGGTTCGTACCCCCTCGATTCGCGGGGTCACAACTCGCGTAACAAACGATTTATACTCGCGCGAGGGTGTCGAATTCTCTCTGTGTTTGATGCGCACTACTTTATTCTAGCGCGCTCTTGAGGCACGGCTCAAAAGCGTCTTGCGCGAGGCTAAGAGCATCGGCTTCGAGGGTACGGACGATACTTCTCTTGGTTTACTTTTCTGGGGGTGGTGGTCAAGTACACTCCTCGATTCGCAGTCAACTATCAACATAAAGGGGGGGAGGGGCTTCAGGCCACCTAAGGAGTACTGACAGAGAGAGAGAACGCGTAGAAGTGGTGTGATCCTCTATTGTTTTGTGAGACCGATGGCCACCGCTTCTTTCGCTCTCTATGCCCTCCCCTCCCCTGGCCTCCAAAAATATTGGTATCAAAGTGAGACCCGATAAGCGATTGATAACCCGTAACCACCACTTTTTCTCTGACTGGTCGAGTTTTTGGTCCATGGCCACCTCTTAGTGAGATGTTCAAA